TTCCACAAAAAAATTTTTTTTAAATCACTGTTTTCTAAGTGGGTCAATGAAACAAATGTATTCAGTGACTATGTCTCCTTCCTACTGTACTCACAGTCAATGGAATGGGATTAAAAAGAAAGCCCAACTTTCACAATCACTGACTCAAAGGAGCAACACATGCTGGCCTCCTTTGGAATGAAAAAATGGTCTTATGGCTTCAATACCCAGAAAGTTAAATTCATATATCCACCATGAAAACAGAAAAAAACTGGGGGCTGGAGAGACGGCTCAGCAGTTAAGAGCACTGACTGCTCTTGCAGATGACCTGGGTTCAGTTCCCAGCACCCACATGGTGGCCAGGAACCATCCTTAACTACAGTTCCAAGGGAATCTGAAGCCCTCTTCTGACCTCTGTGCACTGCATGACATGGGTGCACTCACATACATTCAGGCAATACACTAATACACATAAAATAAAAACAATAATGAAAATATTAATTTTTTTTGAAAAAGAAAAGGAAACAGAAAAAACTATGACATGTTGACATTAGATTTTAAAAAATAGCTTTGCAGGGCTGGAGAGATGGCTTAGAGGTTAAGAGCTCTGATTACTCTTGTAGAGGATCTGGGTTCAATTCCCAGCACCCACACAATAGCTAACAACCATCTGTAATTCCAGTTCCAGAGGATCCAACACCTTCTTCTGCCTCTGCAGGCACTGCACATGGGTGCACTTACATTCATACAGGCAATACACTATTACACATAAAGTAAAAATAATAAATTATTTTTTAAAATAGCTTTGAATCCTCCTTCCTCATCACCTGATATTACCTTCTCTTGGTCTCCTTTCTAAACATTATACTATTCTCATGCTTACATCTCTTTACACATATACATGTATGCATTATACCTAGGATAATACATTTATTATAGCCACATAACAAGATATAAGCTAATAATTTTCACCTTTCATTTTTTTCTTAACCTGAAATGTTTCATCCAATAAAACATATTTTCAGTTGTCATTTTAATTCCAAGAACATAGTGATCTCAGATAACTCCTTTTGCATGTATGTGTGTGCATGTGTGCATATGTGTAATGTATGTGTTTGTGTGCACATGTACACATGTGCTTGAGAATATGAAGGTTAGAGGTCAATGTCAGGTATCTTCAGTCATTCATCACCTAATTTCTTAAGACAGGATCGTTCACTGACCCTGGAGCTCATCGATTTAATGAGGCTATCTGGCCAATGAGTTCCAGGAATCAGCATGTCTCCACTCATGCTCCCCTCCTCCTCCAGCACTGGGGTTACAGACGTTCATCTCAGGGGCTGGCTTTTATATAGATGCTGAGGATCTGAATACGGGTCCCTCCTGCCTGCACCGTAGGTACTTTACCAACTGAGCCAACTCCCCAGCTTTTTAACTTTAAAAAATATATTTCTCCATATGCTAGTACACTTAGTACTCTAATACAGTTCATGTTGGTGGTGCTCCTTTGCAGAAAGTTATTCATCTCCATTTTCTCAAGGAAGACCAAAAACTACAGCTTGGAAAGAAGAAAATTGGCTAGCAAGGGCTTTGAGAGTGGAACCAAGCTTGTCTGCTTTGTGAGTCCACAGGCTCGATGCTAAGTTGCCTCCAATACAGGTAGCCTACATATATGAGACCCTGCAGTCATTTTATTGCCATCCAAGTTGACCAGTTCTTCAGGCAGATACTACAGTATATCCACACTAACATGCGTTTAACCATGGGACACTATTACTCAGAATAGGAATGAGAACATCTTTTTGGGACTGTAGATCAGGAGTAGAGATTGAACCAATTCATGCCAGCTTCAATCCTCAGTACCATCAAAAAGAAAAGAAAGTGAATTAGCATATCCCAATGGCAATGTCTCACAAAAAATACACATATTTTCCCAACACGTGAAGATTACAACTTACCACCATGCATGTGTAGCAATTATTTATTTATCTGCTGATATACCGCTCATATCAATTACTGGGAATCCTTCTATTTATAGAACAAATGAATAAGGCCTTTACAGGAAACTATAAGTACAAATTGAGACAGTGAAGAAGCAAATGGAAATGGGGCAAATACAATATACTATGGAGATGAAATGTGTGGGGAGATGAAGGTGATGATCCCAATATGTATTTAGTGGTACAAAATAATGAGGTAAAGAAAGAACTCTGTTTCATCCAGCCTGACTGAGATGTAGTTGCAAGCACATCCTGTGAATGAAAAGGCCAAGTATTGTTCCAAGGGCAAGTCATTCAAGAAATCCATGGGTCAAAGATCAAACCATGCAGTTAATCATCATCTTCGTGGGGAAAAAAAGCTCCCAACTTTCATCTATTCCTGCTTAAATTACATTTGCTATTTTTAGTTTTCACAAAAGCCAAGTACAGACAGATCAACCATAAAACTATCTGTCTGTCCATCCTCTCTCTCTTAATCTTTCTGGCTGCCTATCTATTTAAACTGTGATTTCAGATTTTCCTTCACAACTGAGTGTATTAGCCTTAAAATTAGAGCTGTGTTTCTCGAGGATGTTTCGGTTTGTTTGTATGCACTCACATTCTCTTTAGTCGCTCTTTTCCCCAGTCCTGTTTTCACATTAATTATGTCTCTCATCCCATGTCCATTGACTTTTGAAAACTAAATGTTGACTTTTAATACTAACCAAGGAGGCAAACAGTAGCAACTATCTACTAACTGACAGATGAGCTGGCAAAGAGTTCATTTAAATTCTTAAATTGCAAAAGGTCTATAATATTGAAGGAAAGATAATAGTCTGTTCCTTTTTGTCTCTTCTACACTTTAGTGATAAACAGAATGGGTGTTGGGAGAATGAAGAAGTAACTGTGAATCGGAAAATAAAAATATATCCTCAGAAGGCTTGTCTGCCACCTGCCTCTGCCCATACCTTTTCCTTCTGGTATAAAAAGCAGGGCATTTTGTGAAAAAACACATCTCTGTGCATTTGTTTCTCAAGAAAATTACAATTCAATTTATTCATTTCTAGTAAAATTGCATGCATTTGGTAATGCATGTAGGAATGACTTCTGGACTAATGACTTTTATTTAACTTTGCACCAAAAAGCTACTCTTTTTAATGTAAACAAGCACAGAACTGTGCTCTTCTTATGACCAGGGCATATGACCTTGATCCTGTGGGACCCCACTTTGTCCTCCACCCAAGACAGCGTGCTTTAATTAGCAAACCAAACTGCTGAACACAACATAATTCATGTTAGAATTCATGTTAGAATCCTTATTGGAAGCAGTGAGAATTGAGAAGAATGCTTAACGTTGTGTGTATGAGATATTTTAGGCCTAGGGATCAACCATCAGGGCTCTCTTAAGATAAGGTGAATCCAAACTTACAGTTCCCCCAATTGACGCTGGAGAAACAGTTTTGAATAAAAGTATGGGTGACACCTGCTCAGGAGCACAGTTCTGTGAGAGATCTGGAGGAACAAACTCTATGAGTTTGTATCTATTCTTGGCTATTACAACTTAATGCTAAGAGTCAGGCTGATTATTTATTCAAGTACAACTGTAATGGGGTTTAAAAACACTGCAAATGCAGACCACTTTCTTCTGAAAATAATGCCAAGTATATACTGTTATTTAAAAGGTAACTATGGCAAACTTTGGATACTGTGAATATGAGCTAATGTGTGGCAGGGCTGACACTCACTCCACTTCTTTTCCTGCCAGCAGTGCCTATTCCAGCATCTTCTGCTAAAAGAAGGGAGACTGGAGTTTAAGGTCACTGTAGATCTGTTTGCTCATAAAATATTAATTGCATAAGTGTGCAGGACCAGTTGCTAATAACAAAGGTCTAATTCCTTAGGCAATTAGACCAGCTTTCCAAATGCAATTAATTTTCTTTATGGGAAAAATATCCTTCGGTAAACAAATTTCATAAAATAATATTTCAAATGAAAAGCTTTAATTTTTTTATTATTTCAGATGGCAGCTTACACATCGATATGAATGCTAGGTGAACATTTGTGAAACTGTGACTATTTAAACTGTGAATAAAATAGAACCAGTCTTAAAGTAAACCTCCTCCAGTCTACACTTGTCTTCTGGGGTAAGGTGGAAAATGTCTGAGATACCCAGCTGTCTCTGTTCTACCAAGTGGAAACTTCCATCTGTGTGAATACAGTGAAATAATAGACCACCACCCCATCTTTCCTCTCCTTTGAGCCTTTGTTCAGTAAGCATTCAAAAAGATGAAAATATTTATGTACTTAAGAATAGCTAGTGATATACTGGTACTGAAAATTGAACGTACTGTTGTTCTAGAGTATCCCTTTTTCTAGAGTATTAATTTTCAAGAATAGTGTGTTTATCCTGCTTTGGTTTCAAAAGGTGTGTGTGTGTGTGTGTGTGTGTGTGTGTGTGTTGAGGAAAGAGGCCTCCAATTCCCAGGGAAATTGTTCCCATGAAGTCAGTCCATGTTTCTGTAGTAACACAGGGCCCCATGGCATAACTCAAGACCTCTAGGGGATATAATCAGAGGCATCCGGAACACAGGAGCCCCTGTCTGTCAGGTGATGTATATGTAAATAAGCTAGATGTCACATAATGGAAACCCATCCCACTTGGAATGAGAAAGACTTGACCTGATCCTTAGAAAGTATGGGGACACTGTGTTTCACCGTTGCTTACATTAAAATTGTTGCTGTCAACGTGGGGATGCCTGGAATATTCTGCAGCCAAGACAAAGCTCTTTAAAATCCCCGTGAAAACCAGGCTTATCATCTAAGTTTCCATGGCTCAGATGGAAGAGAAGTAACTTGCTGCCCCCTTTTCTCCACCTTCCTCTCCTCTGGTTTAGAAAGGTTCGCTCTGAGATTTAGAAGTTTTTCACACCCGAAGTTGCAAACCTCGCGTTTTCCGCAGTGCATCTGGGAAGGGGTGCGTGACAGGTGGAGGTGGGAGGGTCTCCAGCCAAGATGACTGGGGTGGACCTTGTCGTTACTCACCCGTGTTCTTCTCCGCCTTCCTGGGAATCGCAGTCCGAGGCCCACTCCTCGCCTATATCCGGCAGAGTGAAGAACGGGGCTTTGGGGCCAGGCCCAGGGGCCATCCCCGCGCTGGGCTCTCGTTCTCCGGCGCCAGGCGGCTGGCTAGGGATCCGCCAGCTAGCGGCTGCGCTGCTGCTGCCCACAGGGGCCGCGTTGGAGACAGTCATCGGCAGCGCGGAGGCATCCAGGGCAGCCGGGGAGCCCAGAGCGCTGCAGCCGCGGCTAGAGGGGGCCGGGGGCTGCGCCTTGGTGGCTCTGGGGCTAGCGGGCAGAGACAAGGGGGAACCTGCTGCTTCAATCGCGCGGCTGGTGGCCGAGCCTCTGGGGTGCAGCGGGGTCTGTGGCCCCCGCGGAGTCGCGGGGTCGGGAACCAGCGCCGGGAGCAAGATCAGCGAGGTGCCTGCGCCGGAGCCCCCCGGCCCTGGGGTCGCGGCGCCTCCCGAGTGGCTGGGGAGCGTGGGGGACGCCGTCGAGGTCTTGAAGATCTTGGCAAAGAGAGACCCCAGGTCCAACACAGCGACCTTCATGCCTTGGCCTTGCTGATGCCGCCGCTGCTGCCAGAATATCAAGAACACCAGGGCTGCGGGGCTCCATTCACTGCCGCCTCCCAAGATCCGGATAAGACGGCCTGGGGGCGAGCGAGGGTCCTGGGGTCCCCGCACGCCGCGGAGCACTAGAGACTTCTTGGTCTCTGTCCACCACCCGGAGGAACCACTTCGTGCCTTAGTGAAGCATGGTTAGGACAGACCTTCCCGGACAGCCCAGAAGGCCCACAGGTCTCTGAAGCTGTGGAGGGCTACCAGGAGGCTTGGGTCACTCTCTGCAGGAACTATCCCTCCAGGGCTTCCGAGGGACCAGAATCGCAGATCCCAAGAAGTCCAAGAAGCTGAAGGGCGCTTAGTGCACGGATTATGGTCTTAGGTCACTGGCCCCAGGGACCGAGCAGGCGGTTGCTAAGCTAAACAAAAACCCTGTTTAACTCTCTGCTAATTGGGCCCCAGACTGTAGCTGGGCAGTGTCTACAATAGAAGCACAGGCTTCCCTCCTTGAGTCTTGCCTTAAAGGAACAGTTTCAGATTTCTCCTTTGTCCTAAGAACTTCACTCTCTGAAGCACTGACATGATCATGGCCCCTAGAAGTTCCAAAAGGTTCTGGAACTCACTCAGTCCGACAAAGCCAAATGCATTATGGTCACTGTTAGTTCTTTAATGTAAGCAAAAGTGGGTAAAAGGATGTATTCTGGGGCCTATGCTTGAAGCAGCAGGGCCCATTTGCCCTACCCCAATTCAGTTCAGCATGCAGCTGAAGAAGACATGGAAGCGCTCCCCTTCCCCAAGAACTCAGAACTAAAATGGGCCCTAAGAACTGACCTAGTAATATCAACATATAATGTGTACATTCAAATACCTGTGGAGCACATTCAAAGATGCAACTAAATTATTTGTAAGTATAAACTAATCAGCCTGACCAGATACACTCAGCAAAGCCACAGGTAGGAAAGTCAAAGAATGCTTTTACCAGGCTGACCTCAATCTCACAGAGATCCACCTGCTCCTGCCTCTCCAGGGCTGAGAATATTATAAAGGGCTCACCACCACACCCAGTAGACCATGGTCAGTTTTCATGTGTGTTAGCCAACTTTGCTTGCTTGCTTGTTTTTACTATGACAAAAAGAAAGTCTTTAAAAGAGAAAAATATTTTGGCTTACAGCTCAATTCAAGGCTGCTTGGTCCCATTGCTCTGAGCCTGAGGTGAGGCATCTGTGGGATGCCTTGAGGTAGCAGGAAACGGAAAGGAGTCTTGGCAAGCTATAACCCCAAAGGACATGCTGCCAGTGACCTACTTCATCTAGCCAGGCCCCACCTCCTGAAGTTTCTAACAACTCTCAAAATACTATGAGCAGCTGAGGAAAAGTTTTCAGCATGTGACCTGTTTAGGGCATTTCTTATTAAACCATAACACAATGGGAATGCCAAGCTTCATGTTTTCTCTTTATGATATTGAAAAGTAGCTGTCATCCCATTTCTACAACCACCTGCCACTAATAAACATGTCAGAAACACTTCTAGAATTACAAGATTTAGCACAGAGAGGCGAGGAGACACATCTCCCTGGAGTATAGAAAATCAACTTCTTATAGTTTGTGGCCATCTTCACATCAGCATCAGCTTGAAGAAAGCAGAGCATCTGCTTGAGAAGAGGAATGACAGAGAGGGCAGTGGATGGCAGTAGGGCAGATGGATCTTGATGACAGGATTCTGGAAAGAGCATAGGGATACAGTCAGTTGTCCACATGTAAAGCACACAGGAAAGAATGGGGAAGAAGGGAAACGAAAGCAAGTGGCATACACACCCAAGAGCAGCAACAGACACTTGAGGCAGAAGTACAGGCCAGACCAGGGAAGCTGCGCCAGCTCTAAAACAATGGGAGGCCGCCAGCAGCAGACTGGATTGGACTGCCACCACTTCTTATCCTCCCTCTTCTGTGGCAACTCACAGGGAGCCCCCAGAGTGCGAAAAGCTCATCAGAGCATCCAGTTATTTTCAAATAACCCTTCAGGATTGCAAAGCAATGTCTAGACTTTCTGTTGTTCTTTATTTCCTGGGGATCTTGATTCTGGTTCATAAAACAGTTAAATCCTTAACAGGTCACTGGCAATGTTAAGTGGGGATAATTTCTGAATTATGGGTTTTCAGTTTCTCAGAGGCTTTTCATCAGATTGATTTTGAATGGAAGTGGCAGACTGTGGGGGGCCTTTGCCTAGCAACTCCTTCAGTTCCCTTAGAGGCAGCCCTTATTTGCAGGCACATATTAGGATTCCTGACTTTTCAGACTCAGAAGTCTGATTGGTCCAACACCTGTACCACTCATGATGGAGCCCCAGTAACCTGACTTATAAAACACAGATGCATACTATTCAAGTCTTGCTATTTCCTTATAAAAGCAATTCTTATTACATCTAAATTAGTTTGAGTGACCTTTGGATGAGTGCAAAATCCAGGCAAGGGAAGTAAGTCGCAAGGGTTGTAAGTGGGAACAATTACTGTAAGAGACAATCTTGTTCCTCTCTCTTGAAAAAGCAATCTAATCAGGCAACCTGCCTGATGTTACATATCGTTGTAGGCACATTTGTGCTATACGGGCACACTTTTCTGCAGCATGTACCTGCAGTTAATAAAGCTATAGAACTATATACCATTTAGACTCCATCCTTCAAAGTGTTCTTTCCCTGAGGTCTGCTTGCATATACCTTCTGTTATGGGTTGAATTATGCGCTCCTAAAAGGTATGGTGAAATCCGAAGCTGGGTGTGGTGGCACACATGGAATCTCAGCACTTGAGAAGCTAGCACAGGAGAATCTCCATTTCAAGATCAGCCTAGGCTCCATAGTGAAACCCTGTCTCAAAAGAAAAGACTGAATCTCTCTCTCTCTCTCTCTCTCTCTCTCTCTCTCTCTCTCTCTCCTCTGTGTGTATGTTAATTTCCAATTGCTATGAATGTGACTTTATTAGGATATAGGTCTTTAGAAAGTGCTCTAGTCTTCCCTTATTCGTGAGAGTGCGTTCTAAAACCCCCAATGATGTTTGAAAACATGAAGAATACCAAGTTCTGTATACCACAAAGTTTTAATACCTAAGAGATAGGCAGTAATAACTAATAGAGCAGTTATAACAATAGTATAATAAATGTCGTATAAATGACTGCTCCTTTGTTCTTTCTCTCCATATACATATACATTTGGATCACAGTTGCCTTCAGTTGAAACCATGAGAAGTAAAACTGGGTGATGGAACCAGTGTGATCAAGTTCAAATGAGATCACTAGGATAGGCCCTAATCAAATCAAATAGGGTGGCTTACTCTGAAAAAGCAGACATTCTGAGTAGTCACATGGGGTCAACCCTCCCACCCCTACTCCCCAGTGGTGACATATCACAGTCTGAGAGTCACTGTCTAGGACTGAGATGAGGGAGAGAGGAATCCTGACTTTCAGGTTTCCAAGGGAGCACGGCTCTACAGACACCCAATGTAGGAGTTATAGCTTATGAAACTGTGGGAAGATAAACATGTGTTAGTTTTTTGTTGTTTTTGTTTCTTTTAAAGCAGATATTTTTAACATATTATGGAACAAGCTCTACATTGAATTATTTACATGTATTAATTCATTATACAATCACTCTGAAAGATAATAGCAAGCTAGACCTAGGACTTGTAGTCTCATGTACAATTCTGTAAAGATTGTGTTGGAAAACAGAAGTTGGTCCTAAAATATTGGTTCACATATCCTGAGAATACTTCTTTTGTGATAAGATCCTCTGTTTCTTCTTTTCATGTACACTTTCTTCTTTTATTCTATTTTATTTTTTATGGGGTTTATGGCCACTCTAACATCCCCCCTCTGAAGAGGTAACCCTAAAATCTTTTAAGGATTAGATAAAAGCTCCCAAATATTTTTGACATTTTTGGCCTTTGGAACAGAGAGTGTTGCTAAGAGGCCCTAAGGACATTGTGAGTTTTAGCCAAGAAACTGGCTACTTTTCTTTTGGGTCTTTCTTCCCTGACTGGCTAGCCCATTCCTGCCTCCTATTCTTATCACACCATCCTCTGAAGAGGTTACCCAAATCGCCTATAGGGAATTGGGATACAGACCAGTCTGGGTTCTTCTATGTTGAACAGGGACTCAGGGTGAGGCAATTGTATTACCCCTTCAGTGGGTCTATCTAAAAAACTCCCAAATTGCATAACTCTTATCTGTAGGGGGAAAAGAAGGTCCTTGACTGGTGAATAAGAGATGTGAAGGAGAAGTAAAGGCAAGAGTAATTAGCATTACAAGTTCTAGACAGGGAACTAGAAAAAAGTCAAAACAGGGCAATTTTCAAATGTTCATATGAGAGTCCATTGGAATTTCTTGACATGGGCTTCCAAAAGCATCTCTCTATTGGGTTTCTCCTCATTTTTCTTTTGTTTACCAAAGCTGGACTCTAGAGTAATAGATTCAGGATTGGCTTTCAGGCATTTTGATAGCTGTTGGAGTGTTTAGAATCAGTGTCAGTTTCCTCTCAAAGGCTTCTAGATAAGGGGAGAAAATAAATTTATCCATCATTTTAGAACATTAGTTGGTTGTCTCCCATAGCTACAGGTGGGCACTACAGTATTGGAGACCAAGATTTGAAGTCTTACATCTGAGTATTACTTTCTGGTTGGGAACAAAATCATCAATGAGAAATAATTGTCTAAATAACTTTTTTTTTGGTTGTTAGCCTTAGCCTTTACAGGCTGCTGCACTATTCCTCCAGCCCCTAAATAACTTTTTATATGGACTTAAACCTAGTGTATGGGAAGTGTAATCCCTTGAACTCTTAAGGAAATATATTGATGACTTTACTCTTTGGTTATACTTTCCTTTTGGGTGTTTAAGACCAAACAGTTGGCCAAAATAAATCAATTTATTTTTACACTTAAGGTCATTTGAGGATCTGTTCCTCAGGGGTCATATGGGCTTGGGAGGAGCCCCTGGCTCCTTTCTTTTACCAGTTCCATCTATGTGAAGATAAGTCAAAGGAAGCCTGGATGAGATGCTTCCTCTAAATTGACGCTCCTCTTTGTAGCCTGGGGTCTCCATGTCCTCCCTGAACAAGAAGACAGGTGGCTCACCACAGTTACAGGACATTTTGAGAGATGCTCATAGTCCCCTGGAACTTAGTCGCCCTTAGAGGGCAAGGGGCAAAAACTGTCCTTTAAGTCCCTCTGACCAGATTAGTATAGGCCTCAAAGTATGGCTGTTAAACATCCAATAAGG